CTTAATGAAAGTTCACCATCTAGTCTGTCATGTTCAGCAGTAGAAGAAAATGAAACACGACTTCCTATACAATAGCCAATGATGTATACAAGCCAAGTCATTCTTCCTATTATTGGTGTGAAAAAAAATCATTTTAAAATAAATCTATAAGCTTTTTCACTTGTCTTAATTGAACATTATGTAGTTTATATTATTTATTTTATTATTGTTGGAGGGATTGTATTACATGTTAACCAGTAAATAGCCAAAATAAATAGTTAAAATTGTCTAATAATAAATTACAAAAAATCAATGATAAACCTCTCTTTTTATTTTTTAGTAAGAATAGCTTTACGAAAAAATCTTAAAATTTTGAGATTCACTAAAGCTCTAGCACTCAGCTCTAAAATCTGTTATTTTAATTTTCTATTTGCATAAAATTATTTACTTATTGGGATTGGTTTATATCATATAGATTTATATATCATTATTATTATCATTATTATAATTTGATAAAATATTTACAATTTAGTAATGCATATCTAAAAAGCACAGAGGAATAAAATTTGACTTGAATGGATAAAATATGAAGTTAAGATTATTTATATTAAAATTAATAATAATAGCAATAATAATAATAACAATAATAATAATAATAATACATAGTAAAAATTAAAAGTGTTCCTAACCACTCTCCAAAGTGCTAACTTTGTTCTACTATATATAAGGAATAACCATGCAGAAAATTGGACTAATTTGAGCAATTTTAGGGGTCAATAGGATTTCAACATTTTGTGCAAGCACCTAACTTTAGGGCATGTTCGTAGCAGAAATCACTATGTTGAGTGTTTATACATAATTTTTAGTTTTGAACAGCCCTTCTGGGACTCCATTCAAAGTAATTGTTCTAGTTTTTTGTGCAATTTGTAAACAGCAGACATCTTGCCATCAGCAAATAATTTTTAAAAATCAAAATGTTTCCAAATATATAGTATTTTTGAATTTTTATTCTGACTATAGAAGAAAAGCCTAAAAGGTTAGTAATTTGCATCAGCTGCTTTATGCACATATTACATAATTACAATTAATAAGTTACCATGAATATTTAATTAATAATCTATTGTTTATTAAATGGATTAGAGTAATATTATCAATTTATCAGTCACATATTGAGGCCTTAAAACAATTGTTGTTGATTTTAAAATAAAATGAACATTGAACATTTGAACTTAACATTTATGAACAGTAATTTTATGACAATATTTACTATTTAGTATTTTTTCATATCAAAAGGTAGGTACTTAATTACATAATGGCAGTTGCAACAAGACGTTCTGCTGAAGTTTGGCTTGTCGGTAAAGCCACCAACCAATTCTCTTCAGCAAGATTGATGAACGGTGATGCCATCCGCTGCCTCCTGAGTTCTTTTTCAACCAAATTTCCTCTTCTTCTCCATTGGGTTGGGAAACTGCTTCCAGACATAGCTGGTGCAAAAGAAACTGTCAATGGAAATGCTGTGATCGTCACTGAGAATGGTATTGAAAGTTGTTGGCAGTCCCAAAAATTGTAGGAGGAACTGAGGAAGAACAGGCTGCTGCATGCTTAAAAGTACTAGATGACTGGAATCTACAAGAAAACTTTCAAGGTCTGGTATTTGATACAACTTCCTCCAACACAGGCATCCATCGAGGGGTATGCGTTGTTATCGAAGAAGCCATTGACCATGAACTTGTAAACATTGGATGTCGTCATCATGTCCTGAAACTCGTTCTGGGCAGTGTCTTCACAGCTGTTTTTGGTGGGACAGGTGGACCAGAAGTTGGTCTTTTTAAGAGGTTTCAGAAGAAATGGCCATACATTAGGCAAACAGAGTATTTGCCAGCTAAAGAGGAATTTTTCAATGAGGATACCGAAACTCTTCGGACGAAGATGGTTGTCTACTACACCAAAGCCATAGGACATCAGCAGCCTCGGGAGGATTACCTCGAGCTCCTTCGGCTATGTCTTGTCTTCCTCAGTGGAAGCAGTTTTAAGATGGACTTCCAGTTCTGAGCTCCAGGAGCAATGCATGATTCTCGAAGGATGTTGAAGGCCGTCTATTTTCTAAAAATGGTGCTATTTAAAAGCCAGTTGGAATTGACTGCTAAAGAAAAACAAGGTTTGAAGGAGCTGGCACTCTTCGTTTCTCTCATTTATGGACATTTCTGGCACAAGGCTCCACTGGTTTCATACGCTGAATGATGCAATGATGATCGGGCTTCTCAAGAAGTATTCACAAACCATATCATTGCTGATGCGGCTTACACTGCATTTACTCGATATCTGTGGTTCTTCTCAGAACACCTCGTGGGCTTAGTTTTTTTTGACAACCGAGTCCCTCTAGATGTTAAAAGAGCCATGATAGCCAACCTCCAGCTTCCAAAGACTCAGTCAGCTCTGAAGAAAATAAGCATGTGTGGTGCAGACTTTAATCATCTTGAAAAGTTTGTGACTCAAAGAACATTTTGTCCTTCAAAGTACTTGTATCACTGGAAAGGAGGAGGTCAAGAGTTTCCTGTTGAAAGATCCAGAAGCATAGAAAACGGATGCTTGCTAACAAAATTTGAAAGATTGAGTCAACAAAATGAAGGTTGTCAATGCTAGCACAGAGCGTGGCATTGCTCTTATCCAGAAATATAATGAAACCCTCACCAAAAACAGTTTCTGCTTCGTTTAGTCCAGCAACATCTCCAGATTTACCCATCCCCCTCTAAGGCAGTCATGTTTGCGGTAGATGTCATTTGATGGGGCATTACTTATAGGTCATACTTTTGAAATCAGTATTATAACAATTTTTCATTTAAAATTTTAATTACTAAAATATGAAAATATCAAATGAAATTTATACTCTTTTAACCATATAGACCATATATATGAAACATCAAATCTTTTATTATTATATATTGTCAGACTTGCTTCGAATTTTTACAGAAACTCTCTAATATTATATGAAACAAGATAAGCCTTGTGGAGAACAGCATTTCCAAACTTTATTTTTTTGGACCACCTTAATATATATATATATATATATACATATATATATATATATATATATATATATATATATATATATATATATATATATATATATATATATATATATATATATATATATATATATATATATATATAACCATTTTCAATAAACACGTCGATTAGAAAATTTATTTCATTTTGCAAGTAAGACTTACTACAGATTGAGTAAGCTCGGTGGAAAAATCCTTTAAAAATAGAGTTTAAGATATTTGGATCATGATTTGAGTGTGGCTTAATTTGAATGTTAGTGATAGCATCTTTCCGATATACTCCGTATTCATACTTTCCTGTTTTTTTATTCATAATTTGTATATCCAGATAATTTAGTGTTCCTAACTCGTTTTCAACTTCAATTGTATACTGGATGGAAGGATGTTGTTGATTTAAAATGTATTGGAAATGTTTTGCTTGGTTGAGATCTGGAAACCTTGCGTGACTATTATCGACATATCTTAAGAACGATTTGAGGTTAAGTGCAGGGTTGAAATTTAGTGCAATTTTAATTGCATTGTTTTCATGGAATTGTAGAAATGATTCTGCAAGAACGACCATGAACGAAAGTCCAATTGGACCTGAGTTTTCCATTATATGAACTTCATTGTTCCAATGAAAATAACATTGAAATAAACAAAGTTTATAAGTAAAGTCTATAAGTTGTTTCATTTCAGGTATACTTAGTCTTGTTAATTTTTTATATGTTGTATTATTATTTAATTTTTCTATAAGTACAAGGGTGGCTTCTTTTAAAAGAACCGACGGATACAGATTTACAACATCAAAAGATACCTGAACTTCATCGTTGTCAATTTTCCAAGATTCAGCTTTTTTAATAAAGTCAAAGGAATTTTTTAATCTTGTCATTCAAAACTGGTTGTATTATCTTAACTAAGAACTCAGATATTCCGTAGTTTGCTGTGCCGATTGTGGAGATAATTATTCTCATAGGATAGAACTTTTCAGGTTTGTGGGCTTTGATTACACCATACATACGAGGCGGGATAGGATCACTAGGATATATTTTTTCGTATTCCTCCTTTGAAAAACAGTTTCTTTTATTTAGTTTTGAAATCTACGAATGTTGATTTAGTTGATATCTACGAATTTTAGCCGCGTAATTTGCAGTAGGGTCTTCACTTACTATTTTTGTTGGGCCTATTTGTTCGTGAATTTTTTCCAAGGCTTTTAAATGTTCAATTCGTACAAAACCTGTCCCTTTGTCGAATGGATATATGTCAACGTTTTTTTCCTCTTTTATTTCTCTATAAGCTTGCTAAGCTCTGTGTTAAAATTAGAATACAACAATAAAATTGAAAATGCCCAAGACCTAAGGAAAAATGTTTTAAGAGAACTAAAAACCGGAAAAAAAAAAAAATATATATATATATATATATATATATATATATATATATATATATATATATATATATATATAATATATATATATATATATACTTACAGGGCTTAATTTAATCTTTTATAAAGTCCCGGATTAACCAAAAGTTATTTTGGTCAGACAATGTTCGACCAAAATAACTTTTGGTTGGACATTGTCCGATCAAATTTTTGAAATAAAATTTGAAAAAATAATTTTCACAAATATTTACATATATTTATATTTGTTTAGTTAAAAGGAATACAGGAAAAAGAAAGTTCTTTAAATGCCGAGAGTAAAAAAGTACTGCAGATGGGTTTGCTTAGACTACAGTAGTGGCCAGGCACCTTACGATTTTTGGATAAATTTAGTATAACTTTGAATGTGCCTCTTAAATATGCAAAGTATTATATATCAATGTCATTAAATGAATGAAATTAAAATTTTTCGCATATTTTTGTTTAAAAGACGTCATCAAAGCTTATTAAAGTTCTTTTTTTAAAGTTAATAGTAAATAAAGTAAATATGGGTAAAAAGGCAGATTTGAGTGATTTTGTTAAAGGTCAAGTCATAACTTGGCATGGTGAAAGGTACTCACAAGTTGTCATTAGTAAACGTCTAGAAATATTGAGATGCGCTGGACAAAACGTTATAAAATTGCATGGAAGTTATGTAAATTT